CCATTCTATTGCCCTAGAGCATGAAACACTAACTATAAAAGCATTTAATCGGCTCTTGTGACAGATTACATTTGACTGTGTTCCTTTGTCAGGTTTAGTGACTTCATGACATGACTGAAATTGCTATTAAGATCTCTCTTCTGTTGGGTGTACAGGCTTCTTTTGTTGGTAGGAAACAGCCCTCTGTTGGCTGGATCAATGGGGATTCAGCTGCAACACTTTCCCAGCAATAGTGCCAAGCACAGACTTTCTGGTGCTTCAGGCAGTCTCATGAGCCTGTGTTATCAAGGAACAGACATCACCCATGGTTCAAATACTTGAGAAAGGCTACTCGTCCTCAAGCCACCGCTGAAACCACTTAAGTCTATATGACACTCCAGCTGGCTGCTCAGTGTGTAAGAGGCAAGTGAGTAATGTAAGTGAGAATGACACATCTGTTTTGCTGGGGGCTCTCAAAACTGCCCAGCCAGTGCAGACATCTTGCCAGCTTCATACAGTACTAAACCCTCTGCACCACTCTACACAACTCAGGATTTTAGGAAATGCATAGACACAGATGACTTCCTGGTAACTAAAGAATGTTTAGAAGTCTCCAAGCTGCTCTTTGGAATTTCTTATTTTTGCTAAGCCCCCAAATTACAATGCTCCCTTCTTCCTCCTCCCCCAGCAAAGAAAGGTGCTCTGAGTGCTTCTGGTCAAAGACCCATGCACAGCAGACAAGTTGCTCTGCTTGGGAGTAGGAACAGATATTGTTTCTGCTGAAAGATTAGAAAAAAGTATATCTACTGTGGTGCCAATGTCTGTTAGATCATAAAGTGGAAAACTAATAGCTCAGGACAGGGGACCAAAGTTGTAATAATGCAAATGAAGATTCTTTCACAGAATAAAAATAACCCCATTTCCTTGCCACTCTCTGCCACAAAAATATTGTTACCTGACATGATCATAGCAATTTAAGCATTCGTCTATTACTCTTATGAGTCATTAAGTTTTCTACCCCACCCCTTTCTGTGTGCTGAAAAGATGTCCTGCTGGGGAAAAAGCTACTTCTTTCATCTCATCAACAAGAAAACAAAATTAATATTTGCTATCCATAGAACATGAGGCAGGTGAGGGTAGAGAGTATTAGATCAAACATTCAAACAGCAGTTCAGCCGTTCAGCCTGACACAGCTGAGAAGCACCTGATCATCAAAAATGAAGAATTCAGTACTTTCTGAAATGTTATCTCCCCAGAATGCATCTAGGTTTCAATGGACTCTGAAAAACCAACCAAACAAAAGAATTAATTTTGAGCATTTAGGCCCAGGAGCTTGATTTAGACATCAGAAACTGAAAAACCACTACAACCATACCGTCGAAAGGCCAGGCTAAATTGAAATGCAACTTAGAAGTGATCCTGCCTTCTACCTGTCTGAAGAAATATAGGCACCTTCTAGCCTAAATAATACCCTTTATTATTACACCTTTTGCATTTTTCCTCTGGCATCTTTACAGCTCAGGAAAAAACCCAAACAGCCAGAAACAGGAGCCAGAAACAGCTGAACTACATGAGACTGAAATCCCAGCACCATGCAAATACTTGGACTTTTTTTCCCAAATGCTCCCTGTTTTTTTCTGCAACCTGATTTCTGCCATTATCTTGGCAGAAGAAAAAGATCATTACTGAAGATGTCATGGGGACTGAATGCCTATGAAAATGAATACAGGCTGGTGGAAACACAGATGATGCCTGTTTCTAGAGAATTCATTTAAGAAAAACCATTCATTTCTCTACTTTATCATCAAACAGGAAAATGACAGGCACTTTCAGTCTGCTTGTGTGAATTTAAGACAGGAATACAGGTAAAAATCTCCTTCTGCAAGTTGTTGTCTCTCAGAGTTTTCACAGTTAGAAAACATATCAAGGTGAAGTGCAGGAAAAAGGGATCTTGTCAAAACCAGCACATGATCCCCTGTGCTACTGGTTGTAAGAGTGGATGAAAATAGTCCCTAATATTAGAGCAATGAATGTTATAGGGTGGAAAGATGCAGGCCATTTTCTTCCAGGACTTCACATGAGACAGGACAAACTCCTGGTCTTCTCCTTCCTCAAAACTGGAGCTGCTTTGAAAGGTCTGATGAAGTCATGCAAAGAAATCAGATCCCAAGCTAAGGAATGACTAGGAGCAGCCAGGGACCCAGGTGCAAATTCCTGCAGCTGTGCCCCAAGTGGATCACACACGGACAGCTAGGGCTGAAGGCAGTTTCCTGAGCGTTCAAGAGCCTGCTGAAGTGACCACCAAACCTTATTTTACCTGTCTCAAGCAGGTTTACTGAGCAATGATTACAATATCCATGTACTGAGCATCAAACAAAGTGACACTGTTTTCCTTACTAGCTCTGTGTTTTGGCCTGAGCTGGGAACAATAAAGGAGGAGTGCAGCAGCACTTTGTACATGGAAGGGAGAAAGACAAACTGTCCATCCTGAAGTCATGATACACAGGAAATACAACACAGTCATCTCTTTACTCTAGACTAGTGTAGATTTTTCCACTCTGACATTATGCACCAGCCAGTGTAGCCTCTGTCGAAAAAAATTAGAAGAGCACACACACATATGTACAGCCATTTAAGCACTGGTATAGATAGATCACAGATTAGAACCATGGAATAGTTTGGGTTGGAAGGGACCTTCAAAGATCATCCAATTCAACCTCTCTGCCATGTGCAGGACACAGAATTAAAAAAATACCTCCATGATCATCAAGTCCAGACTTTGGCCAACTAGACGTAAGGAAGGAAACTAAGCCTGTTAGCTGACTTGAATTCAGTATGCAGGTCAGGATGAAAAAGTCTTGGAATCAATACATATGCAAATTTTAGAACTCCCTCTCGTAGTATTTAAAAGTAGATCTGTAAAGAACAATTTAATTCTGTCATAAATAGTAGACATAAAGATAAGCATTTCTGGGATGCTATGTAATGAAATGAATGAAGTATGACAGAAACATTCTTCAGGTGAATTTTCAACACTGCACAGGAATAAGACCTCTGGAGCAGGACCCCCTTGGAAAACGGAGGGTGGTGGCAGCTGTCTGTCTATCTGACCCCTCAGATGACCAACAAAAGAAAGCCTCAGAAATCAGACCAAATCCTTGGTCAGAAGCAAGGGAATTCATTTTAACTACCACATTTTTGCCTGAAAACATCCCTCTTATATTAGACTTGCCAGACGTTTTAGTAGAGATTATTAGAATTAAAATGGATGGGGGAGGAGGGGCATGTGGGAAGAAGAATCTATTAATATGCAATTTAGTTTCTGTCAGCATGTGACAGCAATTTACATTCTTCCTGAAGAGCCAGCTGCTTCTTTTTGCTTGCACAGCCTTCTCAGACAAGACAGAATAGAAAACCCAAACCTAACACCTTTCAAACCTGCTAGAGATGAAGAGGTACAGGACAGATGCAAGAGGCATCTCTTTCAAGATAACTATGAGCTGCCATGAGAAAGCAAATGATTTTGTTTCAGTAGTGAATGCTTATGCACTCTCTTTCTAAGGGAAGGTTTCCTGAAAAAGGTATGCTTCATATTTGGACCTAAACAGAAATTAGCCTGACAGAGGTACAATGCTCTGCTCCCAATTTTTAGGCCACTTTATGCAAAAAACTTAAACTGTTTTTCCCGTCCAGATTCCTGTGCTTCCGGTTAAGTTTTTAAAAGATTTAAAAACACAAAACACGACTGCAATTACTTTGTCTCATTAGGCAATCCAGAATTTTGAAAAACATGCACTTGGCTGTGGTCAAGCGGTCCAGACGATTGCCACCTTCAAATCAAAATGAGATTAGCCCAGTAACTACCTACTCTGTTTCATTTACTGAGGACTGCTCTGGCTCAGAGCAGAAAATCAAAGAGAAAGAAAACAGGGAGGAATCTTACAAAGTACACAAAGAGGGCTGAAAATACATTAGATAGCCAATAATACATCAAGTCTACATAGATTTGAAAGAGATTGGGCACTGAAACATGAACCTACACTCAACTGTTTTGGAGACTCAGGTGTGTTCAATTCTTAACAGAGACAGTGCAAAAGTCCTCCCCTCCATCAAACTACAGGTAGTTTGGCAAACTAAAGTGTGATATAGACATGTCCCAAAGAGTAGCAATATATAAATGAAAGCACAAAGGTAATGTAAAACCGAATTAAGATGTCAATAAATTGGTTGAATGACCAATAGGTCTCCATGCACTGTGAAGTGAAGGGTTAAAAAGCCCCCATCTCTCACTTGTAAGAAATGGTGTTGCAGAGGCCCAAGGAGATGTAGCTGCTTGCTTAGTCCTACAGGAGGAGTGCAGTTTTTTTCACTTTAGTATTTCATCTACTGCTATGTGGTTTGTGGCTTACAGGGAACAATAATCCTCAAAATAATGTAATTTGATAGACTCTGAAAACCTTGGTGTATCCAAATTAGAAGCTACAACATTATTTTCTTCTGGTACTTCAAATCAGATCTGCTACTGCACCTAGCTATACCAAACAGTTCAAAACCTGAAGATACAATCCTTCAAAAGAACCCTGAAGAAACTGCAGAAAGTGAGAAAATAACTTTGAATTTGTACACCTCTTCCAAAAACCAAAAGGTACAAGAAATCAATTTAGGAAAATGGGAACAGATATTAAAACAAAGATCCCAAAATTACACAAGTATGGAGGAGGAGAGGGAGTGAGCACATGAGAGACATTGGAGGGGAGGATTAATTAGGAAAGGCATTAGGTTAGGGCTTCTCTCCTTACTTGGCACAAGCCACTGATGCACATGTCCAGAGATTCAGTGTAGCACCGGGTCCCATCCAGAACCTTTGGTGCCAGCTCCACAACCAAAGCTGTTCCTCTGGCCTGGCACTTCAGCGAGCATGGGTTGTCAGGGTCATTAGAGATGGGAAGCCACTCATAAAACTGTCCCTGATACTTGACATCGTTGTGAGCAGAGCACTGCTGGGCACGAAAATCACCTGCTTCTGGTGGGCAGTCCTGCAGAAAAGAAAAAGGAGAAGGTCAGCAGGTCTATTCAGGACAACCAGTTGCAGTATTGTGCAGCCAGCTGGGTTCCACAGCTGCCAGATGCAGAGTTTCTCTTTTGACAAAGAAGAGTAATTGAAATAACTGCAGCTGCACATAATTCAACTTGATAATTATACCTTTCTTTATTCTTTCTGCAAAACTATTGAAAGAACACCAAGACCATGTGTAAATGAGGCATAAGAAATGCACTGTACATGTCTTAACCACAGCCATGAAATGTTCATGCTGGATCTCATTCCACTTGCAGTTTCTCTTTTGACAAAGAAGAGTAATTGAAATAACTGCAGCTGCACATAATTCAACTTGATAATTATACCTTTCTTTATTCTTTCTGCAAAACTATTGAAAGAACACCAAGACCATGTGTAAATGAGGCATAAGAAATGCACTGTACATGTCTTAACCACAGCCATGAAATGTTCATGCTGGATCTCATTCCACTTGCACACATAAGAAGTGTGT